CTTTCCAGCCTCTAACCCTGCCTCCCTCCCTTTCTCTCTGTTCTAGATCACACTATGCTGCACAGTTGCCTCAGGCAGATGCAGCTCCCAGCCTCCACGACTACTCCCATCCTCCTGGCCTGGCTCAGGCCCCATCTCTGTGGTCCCTCCTCTCCTGCTTCCCTAATCTAAGGGCCTCAATGTCCAAAGCCTCAAGCCAATCCCTAGACTGACTTCTGCATAGACAGCAGAAAGCTGCCGGCCTTGGAGAGAGGATGCCTGATGCCTCTCCGAAGGGCCTTCAGCCAAGCCATGCCCCACTTCAAGCCGAGGTGGAGACAAGATGGTCTCCCACCTTCATGCCCCGCCCCCGTGTCAGAATCCGCCAGGATGCCCTCCTGCCTCCTGGGACAGATCAGTACCACACCTGGCCTCAACGCACACACAAGGGTGCCCAGAATTTTCTAAATTTGCCAGCCTCTAATTCAAGCCACTAGACTGCTGCCCACTGGCTCCCCTTGTGCCCCAGCTCCGTTCCCAGTGCCTGGCGCAGCATGTTGGTCCGCATGCGCGGGTGGGATGAAGAGAAGTTGGGACTCTCCCGTGGACTCCTTGGCTACCACTGAGTCCATCCATCCCACGTGGGCCCCCTCCCTGAGGAAGGGAACCGGGCCCTGGTGGCCACTAGATGGCAGTGCTTAGCTGCCCAGGTCCGAGCGGCCGCAGGGTCCCGCAGAGGGGACAGAGCGGGTCTCACAGCGGCAGGCAGGCTTTCTAAAACCCGGATTTCTATCCCCCAGGGGGATCACCTCGTGTATGCTCTAGAGTTGCTTCAGACTGCTCTGACAGTGCCCTCTAGAGGAGAGAGGGGCCACGGCCATCCAATAGCTACATGACCTTAGACGACTTCAAGAGCTTCTCCGAGTCTCCATTTGCACACCTGTAAAATGGGGACTCACGACACTTACGTCCAAGGTAGCAGTGAGGATAAATTCAGGGAAAGCCGGACACAGCAGCTGCTCGACAAATCACAGCTTCCAAGGGTAAAGCAGTCTGGGGGGCGGGGCGGGAGAG